AAATATATATATATATATATTATATATGTGTATATATATAAAATTGCAAAAGAAAAACCCAAGAAATTAACCATCAATTTGCACATCAGTGGCTCAAAAAGTGTCAGCGTAGAGAACGGCAAACTGTTTGTGGGGCAGATGCGTGATCGGGGGGCTGGCATTTCAGTAGCAGAAAGGGTATTTACATGGAACCCCTATCGGAAACCTCACAATACTAGGAAAAGCTCAACACAGACAAGGTATGTACAAGGGAAGACAGTAAGTAGTACTCTCGCGTGACGATTGTCAGACACAGACATTTCACTGAAACCATCCCCAGCTTTAGAAACACTGCACTTTCTATCTAGACGGGGTTCCTGCAACCCCACACCCAGCCAGGCAGTCCCAGGCCCCGGTCTGTTTGTTCTCCCCACCCTGTCTCTTTCTCGGGAGAGGGTAGCATAGATTGCAGTACCTGGATATCAAACAAATACCCACAAAACAGGACCAATAGGCATCAGGTGGAGTTAAAATGTTGGGGGTGGGGTTCCCTGAAATATATTCCCATTTTATAAGGGGCTTTGATGTTCTTCAAGTGTAGCTACTCTGTCCTTGGTCCAACTGTCACCCTCTTCTTGCTTCACTTTAAAAGGGAAGATCTAGCCTTTGGGCTTTTAAAAATTATACAAAATGATTTGCTGGAGGGGAGAAAAAAGTTTAAGGTCCTTCTACATTTATTCTCTCAACACCCCTCAAATTCTCGCAACATTCCTTTACACTACTTAGAGATAAAGGGTTTGCCACTTTGCAGCTGGCCTTGACTCGATGCTCGGGTAACAACGGGTGAGAAAAGGAGCAGAGGAACTGACTCTACCAGGAAAACTACTGGTATTTTCTCACACTGAGGGTCTGACTCCAGCTACCCCTGAATCTGTCCCTTGCATCAGTAGTAATCATTTCTCCTCCCTCTTCAGGCCCCAATTTCTCATAGCATGACCCAACTTTTGGGAAAATCTTGAAGGAAAATGGCACCAGACGCCTATTTGGCAAAACCTAATACCACCTAAGTATCAGCCAGTGCAATCCATTACTTCTGTATTTTTAAGAACACCCCCAACTAGAAATTCTTCCTGCCTGTCCCTAAGAAGAGAAATTTGCATGCTCAAAGGAACTGTCTGTATGAAAGTGAGGAAAGGTGCTTTCTCCACTACAGGATACCACACCTGAAACCCCCACACTGATCCTGGGCGAGTGTGGCTTCTCACCGTGAGATGCAAAAGGAAGCCTACCTGTGACCTCTCATTTCTGATAGAGGGTGCCGCACCCAAACAGATAGGTTGGCTAGACAGGGCTTGTGGAAATAATTACACTATTGTGTACGCTTTTGCACACTGTGGCGCAAGTGGAACCGTGCACGGATGATAACCTCTGAGCATATTTCATGAACTTAGAGTCACTACAGGCCTCTCACTTCTTGTATTAAATAGTCCCTTTCAAAACAGATAATATCGGGCCGGCCCGGTGGCGCGCTGGATGGTGCGTCGCTTGGGAAGCGCGGCGGCGCTCCCGTCCGGGGGTTCGGATCCCATGTGCAGACCGGTTCCCGCTCACTGGCTGAGCGAGGCGCGGGAGCAACACCGAGGCTTGCGATCCCGTTGCCGGTCCCTGGTCCGGTGCAGGGGCAACACTGAGGGTTGCGATCCATTGCCGGACACGGAAAAAAGACAAAAAAAAAAACAGATAATATCCCTTTGGGTTTTGAATTATGGGTGCCCTATCCTTTTCGTGGGAGCATAGATTTATCTTTGCCCTCATTTCCTCTCAGTCTCTTTGAATTTTATGTTAGTTTGGGCTCAGGTGATGAGAGATGATGCAAGACCTGGTTCCTCCACGCCCAGCATCAACTGCAGCTGGGGGCCGCTGCTGACCCATGTGTGAAATGAGTAGGGGGATGTTTTCTCATCTGGTCAGTCGTCAAGAACTGATTCCTCTTGGCCTGGAGCTACAACATAAAATTCACACTCATGACAAAGCATGGCATACAGGCCTGTGGTAGAGTATGTGTCTATCTACCCCTCTGCATACCTTCATAGAGAAATCCAAACTGATTTTTAACCTTTTAGACTTTCAGAAGTGAATTGTGCCTTTGGTTCTGTCAAATCCATGGCAAACGAAAAACTGGATTTATGGCATTTCTCCTCACGTGGTGAGTGGTAGCCCTCTGTCACGATGGTGCTGAAGAGCACGTGATGGCCGTCTTGCTACCTTACCAGGAGTGAGTGTTATCCACAAGGAACAGGGTTCACGCTTCAGTCTACATGAATCAGTGGCATAGGGCAGTGCTTTACAGTGGGTTTCTTACTGTAAGAACTTACTGCTCCTCACCCAAATCCCCTAAGTCCTTTAAAATAATTTATCTGTCCACAGAGGAAGAACCTCATTTTAGTTATGGGAGTGTTGAGGGGGGTCCTTTTTATGAGTATAACCTGGTTGCAGTAGGACAGTTATTCGGGTCACCTGCAGGCCAGGAGGCTCTTACGGAGCCCAAACCTGGGCTGAGGAGTGACCCCTGGCAGCACTTATGCAGTTTAGGGAAAGGTCACATGGTAAGGATGGTTCTCGCACACAACTGGGTGTCAGCCACCAATGGTGGAGAGTTGTTGGAGCCAAAGTTGTCTCTCTGTAACCATTTACCCCTCTTCCTCCCCTCCCCTACTCCTTCCCATGGAAACAGGCTCAGAAACCTCCCACTTCCTGCTCAGCCAGCCACAGCACAGCAGATGGGTTCACATTTTCTCATCTGTTTTCTGCAGCATGTCCAAGCACAGAGGCTCAACTAGAAACAAACCTACTGCCGGCCAATTCTGAGCTCTCGACTATACATTTTATCTAGTCAGCTACTGGTCAAAGCTTTCAGCCACTTGTATCCAGAGCCAAAGGAAATGCCCTTTCCTCTCACCCTAAAAGCCTGAGGTCTTGTTTGGACACATGTCTGTTTCTACAGCGTCTGGTGCGTGTCCTCAAGCCTGGAGCTATGCATGTCACATCCCATACATACAAAGGAAGAAATCAACGGAATGATCCTACCAGTCTCTCCCAGCACTCTTATACCAAGGTGAGAGAGAATCAGAAACTGTGGACTACGCATTAGCTCTTCGCAGACTTCCCTCTCCTTGCTGAAAATCTCTCTTATGATGCTTTATCCAAAGAATTTTATGGAAATGAATTCTGGGCTGGCAATTCGCTATTTGCTATAGGGGAAAGTGTAGTGTGGGGCAGGCCATCAAACGAGTTACAGTACTGACATTTCAGAAGGGCCTCACCATATCTCCCAGGTCTCCAGCTCATGACCGCAGTCCATTCTGCACTCAGCCACCAAAGGGATTTTTCTAAAATGCAAGTCTGATCATGATTCTACCCTGATTAAAAGCCCTCAGTGGCTCCAAACCCCTTCCCTGATCAAGTCCAGCTCCTCCACACTTTCTGTGTTTCCTTGTGATCCAGCCCTGCCTACCTGTGAGGCAAAACTGCCTTATACTTCCTGCTGCGGTGGTCCTGCTTTGCCCCATGAACACGCCGTGGAGCCTTTCGCTTCTGTGCTTTTCCTCGTGATCTTCCCTCCACGTGGAACACCCTAACCCTTTCATTCTCCTGGAAAATTCCTCTTTGTTTTGAAAACCTAACTCAGCCACAGCTGTATTCAGGAAGGTTTCTCTAGCTCCCAAGATTGTTAATTGTTGCTTCCTTTTGCACCTCTGTACCCTTCCCTGTTTTGTAATGTCGACACACCTCCTCTACTCACGCTCTTCTTGAGGGCAGGAACTATATACTACCCTCATGCCTCGCCCATGACCCACTCTCAGTGAGCATTTCTTGAATGTATGAGAAATGAAAAAATTGATAAATAGGAGAAATTCCTATTTCCTGGCAGAAATTCCAAGGACAGGCTCCAGCAAGGTTCCAACATTTTCACCTAAATGAGGCCTCTCTGTCACAAAAGGAATACAGAGAATTTGTTGAATTCAGGGTCTATCAGTATCACCTCTGGACTACAACCACTCACACACGGAAAGCCACATCAGGCATCGTGTCCACTCCACCTCCTCCCAGCGTTGTCTGCCACTTACTACTCTAGTCACAATGATCGCTTTCTTTGAATGTCAGCATAATGCCTGATGTATAGTGGATGCTTAACGAATATTGTGAAAGGATAAATGAATAAATGTGAAATCTATTTTTTTAAAGAAGTCATCAAAGGATTGACTTTTAAAGGCATTTTCAATATGACAGATTGTTCTGAGGCATCGTTGCCCCTGACCATTGGGTTTCTATCCTAAGACTTGACCCAGTCAGGAAGCAGAGCAGAGAGAGGGGCCTAGGGAAGCAGTTAGGAACCTGCACTAGAGAGACACAGCATTGGGTTTTCCTTGGTCATCAGCCAGTTTCCTTCCTTCTCAAGAAACAGCCAACTGTGGATGGTATTTCCTGTCCCAACTGGAAGGCTCTGGCTTCTCCGTTGTCAGATGCACACACCGGCACCACCACAGTCCATGTTCATCAGGAACTTAATGTGCACTGATGAGGTAAACACAGGTAGCTTCCTGCCTTCACTTCAAGTGCTAACATTATGCACTGGACACCAGTCACAGAAATGGGTCCTGGTCTAAAAGAATCCCCCTTGGGGATTAAAGTTGTCCATCCACCATAGCTGTTAAAAGCAGGGCTCTGGACTCTGACTGACCTGGGTTCAAATGTGGCTCTGGCTCTCTTTAGCCAATCACCTGAGGCAAGTCAATTATCCTTGCGGGGGTTCAGTTTCCTCACCCATAAAATGGAAATGATCTTATGCACCTCACAGGATTACTGTGAGGGTTAAAGGATATAATGTACATGAAGCCCGCACAGTGTTATAGATAGTAAGTGCTCAAAAATGGAAAACTATGATTTAAGAACTTTCAAAAATATTTTTACAATATCAGAACAAAAGGGAAAAAATATTGTTTGAAGATAACTGTGCTTTAAAGAGAATGGATTGTCTAATTTTTAGGACCCAAGCAATGTTCATTAATCAATGCCCCATGGAAGAATATGAAAAGACAGTGTTGGCATTTAAAACAATAGCTGTGGACACTACCAGGCCCCAGGATGGACAAACAGTGACAGAACTGGGGACACTCAAGCATTTTCCTGAGACCTGGTCCAAGAAGATTAATCCTGAAGGGCTCTTCCTCTGGACCCAGGGTGACTCAGAGTTGGATCCCCAAAGGAGACAAGGTCAAGGCGCCAAGAGTAAGATTCCAGTTCTGGTCTGTGAGCAAGTGCTTCTGGGTTTGAGGAAAGGTCAGAAGACCCTGACTGGAGGACAGGAGTAAGGCAGGTACTGCTGCATTGCTTCGGGTGTCATGCAAAGCTAGAAAAGCAGAGCATTTCCTGTGTTGTTTTAATCCTCCTTGTAAACCCAAGGCCAACAGAGTACTTAAACTTCCCCAAATTTCCACCCTGAGCATGAGACAACTTCTTTCTATGTTAAATTTGGTTTTAGTTTTGAAGCGCCTGAGATGTACACTTTATATGGGTCAAGTTCCTGGCTTCTTATATTGATTAAGACATCCCCAATTCTCAGGCTTCGTTGGCTTGCCCTCATGTCTGCCAACTCTGACAACTCTTCCATCCATCATTCAAGAGGTTCCATGAAGAAAGCTCAGGGTTAGTGTTTGGGAAAGCGCAAGTTAAGCCATCAGCCCTTGGGAACAAAGATTAACTTCTATTGGAGGGGATGGGTCAATTTATCTGGTTACTTTGAGCAGCAGGGCAGGGACCCAAAATGGAAAAGAGAAGAGAGATAGCTCCATCAGCAGGAGGTTGGATTCCCACCAAGAAATGGACCTTACTCAGAGGAAGCCTCGACCTGTCGACTTAGTCTGAGCCTGTGAGAGCTTGTGGCCCATCTCTGGCCTTCTTGCCTTGGGCTCAGATTGGTGGGCAATATCCTAACACAGGCAGCCCACAACTAGGCAGTGTTGTGTAGGGGCAAGAGCACTGGACTGGGATCAGGAGACCTGAATTCTAGTACAGGCTTTGCCACTAACTAGCTGTGTGACCTCGAGCAAGTCATCTGATTTCTCTGGGGCAATTGTAAAATGAGAGGGTGGTCAGGCCATCTCGAAGTTCCCCCTCCAAGTGTGATCCAGGGTCCTATTCTATCTCTCCTTGGCCCTGTGCTTCCAGGGACAGAGATGGGAGAAGGGAAAGGGAGGAGAGGAGACAAAAGGGAGCCCAAGGGTGCCATGAATCAGGACTCCACTTTCTCCTTCTTTTTGCTCTTTTTCAGGAAGGAGGGGGTTCTGAATTTCTTTTTCTTCTTTGAGGGAGACTTGGAAGGTGAGCCCTCTGGGGACATGGGGCCGCTGGTGACTGACTCAGTTTTGTCCTTGGAGGTATCGACATCCGTGTCAGCACCGGTGGTCATCTGGCTCAAGCCCTTGCTGAGGATGTCCTCTGCGGTCTGCTCCTCCTCCCTCCCGTTGACCACCACCCCTTCTGGCTGAGTTGTTTCCGGCTCTGTGGTGGCTTTGCTTGTTTCTGTCTTCTTAGCATCTTCTAGAAAAAGATCAAAAGACATGACCCATAACATTTCCTTCAGGTGAGGGATTCCACCTGGGGTTAACAGAACCATTTCTAGGCAATTCTGTAAAGCAAGTCTAGAGCAATGGGAAGGCAGATTGACATGGTGGTTGGGGGATAGAGCAGGGCTCTCAGCGGGAGGTGGAAGGACGGTGTCTCATCCAACCCTGCACCCCTATCATGTGGCTTGCTCGGGGAACACACCCTCAGCAGGGTGGTAACTCCTGCCTACTAATTTAAACAGATATTGATGTCTGAACATGGCAGGGGGCCCAGAAGGGGCTCAGTTCAGAGTATTTCTAGGCAGGGTGGAGGAAACAGACAGAGGGGAGGAGAGAGGCTGTTGGAAGGGGGAGAGCATGTCATGTGCACCTCAGTGGAGATATCTGAGAATTAACTGGTTCAGTTCCACTAATAAAAATATGGAAATGACATGTGTTCATAGCCATTTCATTTCATATGAGGAACCAGTGAGGAACTTTAGGAAATATGGAGAGTATCTTCCCAGAAGGCAGACAACGATCTTGCCCTCCTATATTCATTTTGCACTTGCATGTGGCATTTGTCTCTTTTCGTCTAAGAGTCCATTCACCACCCAGGTAAACCATTCAGGACAGAAACTCTGTCTTTTACTTCTCCGGCAACCATCACGCAGCTCAGTGACCACATGCTCGAGCCATGCTTACTGCAGCTGACTTTTGCCAAGTGAGGCCAGATGAAGATTCAATAGATGCCTTGCTTCGCCACAGCAGTGGGGCTCTTCTGTGTGGGTGCACTGGGTTGAGGATGTGGGGAAGGAATACTGTCTTTTCCTAACTTTAGGAGCAAGCCTGCCTTTCTTCCCCTGGCCTGCTAAAATCTCAGGGCCAAACACATGACCCCTAGTCCCAGTCCCACAGTTTAGAGAGGCCCTCTTTTTGCAGAAGGGGAGACACCAGTGGAGGGCCTAGAAACTGGATTTGCTAACTTGCTTCTGAACCCACTGTCAACCAGACTGACCATGACCTATATACCAAATGCATGGAGAATTGGTGTTTGCAATGTACTGTTTTTACTTCCCTTTTGAAAAGGCAGCTCTGCACCATCGCATAGAGAAGCCAAGAAATGTTCATTAAAGACCTTGAAAAAATCTATGACCTATGCTGACAAAGGGCTGGGTGCTCATGCAGCAACAATCAGAAAGGCCCACAGGGTGCTCAAAGCACAGAGCAGGGAAACAGAAGAGCAGTAAACAGAACTGCCTCACAGCTGGTCAATGAACTGGATACTTGCCATGCAGAGAGGTATGCAATAGAGTTTCTGCCTGGGTTTAAATTCTCAAATATCAGTGTCTGAAACGATCACCAAGGGAGCTTGTGAAAATGCAGCTTCCCGGGCTTGTCCCTACAATAGACTGTGAAACACAAGGTGGGCCAAGAGAGATGTATATTAACAAATCTCCACGTAATTCTGATACAAAAGGTCCACTGGCCACACACTGGGAAACATGAGTTTAGAATGATATATTTCCTCTCACCTTTACCTACCCCAAGGACTGAGACAGCACCACTGATAGAGAAGAAAGTAAAGCTGGTAAATAGGTATGGTAGACTGTGTAACTCCCATCCACTCGGCATGGTTGGGACATAAAAGCTCCCCTAAGCACCAATATGCTTTTAGTGTGTGGTACAGCTGGTGTGCAGATGTGGCCCTAATGAGCCATGCCTCCAGGTACTCACATGCTTGTGTGGTCCCCTCCAGCACTGAACCTGGGCTGGCCCCATGGCTCTCTATAACCAACAGAAGCAAAAGTGCTACAAAGCCAGCCTCAGGCCAAAGACTTAAGAAGGCCTAGCAACTTCTGCTTTTACAGTTTTGGGAGCCCTGGGCCACCATGTATAAAGTCCGACTACCCTGATGAAAACACGTGGAGAGGCCACATTTCAGGGGCAGGGGGAAGAGGTCCAGCCATCCCAGTGTCCCAGCTGAGCCCAGAAATGCTCCTGCCAAGGCACCAGACATGTTAGTGTACCATTTTGGAAGTTCCAGCTCTGTCATGCTCCCAGGTGACTACAACCACAGCTGCCAGCCATCCCAGTGTCCCAGCTGAGCCCAGAAATGCTCCTGCCAAGGCACCAGACATATTAGTGTACCATTTTGGAAGTTCCAGCTCTGTCATGCTCCCAGGTGACTACAACCACAGCTGATATCACATGTAGCAGAAGAACCATCCAGCTAAGTCCAGTCAACTCCAATCCACAGAACTAACTTCCATAAAACTAGATTTTATTATGCACCATGATTTAATAACTATCTATTGCTGCATAACAAACCACCCCAAAATTTAGTGGCTTAAAACATCAAGTGGTGTATCAGCTCTCACAATTCAGAGACCATGGTACATAATAAGAGCTAATTTACATAAGCACACTACAAAGTACTTTTATACTCATTAGCTCATTTTATCCTGACAACAATGCTGCATTAGGAAAGGTAAGGATTTGTGTTATTCCCTGCCTCTGCAGTGTTTTTAACTGACTTATTTGAGATGGGTAAATTAGTTAGTGGCAGAGCTGATCTTCTGATGTCAAATACAGGGCTATTTCTTTGCAGGCTTAGCCAATACCCCAGAAGGTTCACTGGGGGATGGAGTCAGCAGAGACAATGCCAGTCAGGAGCTAGTCAAAAAGAAGGAGATGGCCATATGCAAAAGAAAAAGATTTTAAAGACTCTCCTTCATGGAGGTTGATGGGGTAGGAGTCAGGGAGACAGATGAGGAGGACATGAGAGCATAATGACAAATGGTTGAAAAAAGCCATCTCTGATCTGATGAGTGAGCTAAATATGGGAATGCAAATACCAGTGCACCAGCCCTGTCTTCCCTGAGGAGCTGGGCAAGCCATTGAGCAGCCTGGCCAAGGCTACCCAGCCCCACTTGACATTGGTCACCCCATGCAACTACAACGTGGCTCATCATGTAGGGTCTGCTCCAAGGCAGCCATGCTCCCCAGCTCTGTCTGTGTTCTAGGAAGTGTGTTCAGGGAAGACCTTGACTTTTCTAGTGACTCAACCACAATGTGCCCCTCTAAGGGCATGAATTTGGGCCAGAGAGAACATTGAATCCTGCTACAGTGGGTACTATGTCAGGCAGTATGTAAACAGCTATCCCATCCATCGCACACTCCTCCTGCCCTTTGTCCCTCCCAGGAGCTGATATGGAATTGCCACTGCTTGTCCTACTCCTGCCATGAGCCTCCTCTCCAGCCCTGGATTTCTTTCCAGCAGTTAGTGCATATGCCCTGAGGGATCTTGAAGACCCTAGTCAGGTCAGGCCCTTTATGCATCCTTATAAGACAATTGGTCCCCAAGGCATTCAAGCTCTGGCCCACAGCCCCAGAAGAGGTTGTGGGCACTTTAGAGGCACCAGTGCATTAGGAATGGGTGGGGTAAACTCCTGAGGGCCATGAGCACTCCACTGCAGGAGTGCCCGAGAGATGGTCCCACTGCCCACTCACTGAGGGGCCTGCTGCTTCTGGCTGTGTGCGCCCTGTGCGTGGGTATGTTTGTTGTGTGTGTCCTATGTGTGTATATCCATGTCTCTCAAAGGGAACCCTAGTCCACACATAGCACATGGAGAATTGGTCATGATTTTACAGCCAGGAAAACTCCTGAAGGCGGGGTTGTGAGTAGCAAAAGAAAAACTTGGGGAGAAATATATTTCTTTTGGAAAAACCTCCCTCCCCCACTGCAAGTGTCAGAGTGAGTTAGTAAACAGCCTCTCTATACTTACTACAGAGACAAGTATTCAGAATCGGAGGAAACTCCTTTGATGAAGGCACAAATAGGAAGAGAAAGGAAGACATTGTGGAGACAGGTTGACAACACCATGATGAGACACATGAACACAAACAGTAGGGCACATCCACTTGACGCTCTGGCCTCAAGCAGATGGGTTTCCTCTGGCAACACTGGGCCTGTGCTCAAGGCAGCAGCTTGCTTGTGGAGGGAGCTCAGGGGTTGGATTCCATCAGAATCCACACATATGGCCATTCCACCTAGGAGGCCACCAAGTTGCTGCTCTTTGGATGGCAGACCAACCCCCCGTGTGGGGATCTCTGAGGGACCCAGGGCAGGAGTGATCATGCCCTGGAGTGAATCCAGGAGCTCATTAAAGACACTTTTATGATTTAGTTGACTAGGGACTATAATAGTATTCATCCACCATCTGTATATTATTATCATAACCATAATTAGATCTTACATTTAAATCATGCTTTTACTCTTTCAAAGTATGTTTTCATCTACGCTTCCCTTATACATATAAGAACCTTAAAAAGGGAAAATATTAGTAGCCCCACTTGACAGCAAGGAAACTGAGACACAGAGAAGTTATCTGGTTTGCTAAAATTAGCAGCTGAGTTATTGTTAATTAGCAGTTCAGTTGGGCTTAGAACTCACTTCTTCAAACTAATATCTCTCTAATGAAGCTATTCTCAACCTGGACTACATGTTAAATTCCCCTGGAAAGAACTTAAAACTCTAGGTTGCTACCCAACCCCCCTCTCCTGCCAAATGTCTCCCAGACCATTGAACTCAGAACCACTGGGGGTGGGATCCAGGCACCAAGATTTTTAAAGCTCCCTAGGTGACTCCAATGTACAGTCACATTAAGGTTGAGAATGACATCATTAGCCTCACTTGGGAAATGCAGAATCTTGGGCCCCATCCTAGACTTACTGGATCAGGGTCCTAATTTTAATAAGATCCCTGGGTGGTCCCTGTGCATATTAAAGTCTGAGAACTGGGCTACTGCACTGCAAAGGACCATCAGCCAGCCGTGTCTGAGTTAGAGGTGAGCAGGCTACAGGCCAGTCATTAACTTATTGATTGCTGCCTAGACTGGGCTGAAGTGGTAAGGTATATTGTCATAGCTTCGAATGAAACAAGTTGAAATTTGGTAACCCCTATCTCAGATTCCCTAGAAATAGCAGAGGGCAAAGCTTTGCAGCAGCAGGGCAAAGCTTTTGGAAGGCAGGGTGCCTGCAGTGTGCGTGCCTGCCCCGCCTCCCACGCCTGTGGACGCACCCCTCCCTTGCTCCCTCCCACCCACTCCGCTCCACTCACCCTCTGAAGACTTGGAAGGAGAGACCACAGGGCTCTTTGTCTCTGCCTTCACTGGGCTCTGTGCTGGAGAAGCAGCTGCTGACTTCACAGGTGAGCTAGGCTCTTCTGTGGCGGGTTCCTTCTCTCCTGAAAATACAGAAAACCACCTCAGGACAGAGGTCAAGTAGAGGAGGGACAGGCAGAGAGAGCAAGCATTTAAAAAATTGCTTTTCTGCTTGGTCATTGTTTCTCTTGGCTGTTAATGAGCCTCTGCTGGAAGTTAGCTGCTCTCCTGATTTATTTCTGCTACTACCTCAGGGAGGCAAATGGGAGAACTCAGAGTCATGTCTCCGTCATCAAAGCACATCTACCAGTGGAATTTGTTACCCCTGATGTGGACAGTAGGACCGTGGGAAAATTCCCACGCTGCCAGACAGAGCCTGGCTCCGTCCCTGTCCTGTCTCTGAGAGGAGCAGCCAGGTGCTGTATGTTGTGACCACAGAGCTCATCAATGGCGAGAAGTGGACCCCCCAAAGAACCACTAAACCCCCTTATAAACACTCTTGATGTGTTTGCATGTAGCTAATTCTTTATTTAACTGATTTCATTTACATTTTCTGTCCAAACAATCCCTAAGGATTAAAACACCATGTCTTTTTATCTACTTTCCAATTGGCCCATTAGAACTCCAAGCTAGCCAGCAAGGGTTTTCCTAGTGCCTGCTTTGTGCCAGGTTGGGAATGTGGTGGCAGTGGAAGACCCTTCCCTGAGGGAAAGACAGCCTAGCCCAGTGGACACAAACGGGAGCTGATTTATGTGTCTCAGACCCCAAGTGCTCTTGAAGCAAAGAAAAGGAACAGCTCAATTTGGTTGGGGAGGGTGGCAAGGAGGACTTTCTAACTGGAGGGGGTTTGAGATGAAGTTTGAAGTGTCAAAAACTTTGGATCAAGCTAGCTGAGAAGGGAAACCACGCCAGGAAGGGACAAAGCATGAAAGAGGGCATACAAGCTATCACCGGTACGAATATTGGGGGTCACCGTGGAGAGATGGAATTGACTGGAGGATTCTGAAATGAAGAAATCGTGAGAAAAAGACATAAAGGTGTTAGCTGGTGGAGAGTTTTGATTTCCAGGTTCCAAGATACATACCAGATCTGACAGATAATTAATGATAATTATGATGACTGCAATTATATTATAGCTAACATTTATCTGGTGTTTACTGACTTAAGCCGTACTTACAGGCACTATTCTAAGCACTTCACAAATGAGGGTCAAATGAGGTCATGAAGGCACCATGTAACTGTTTGGCACAGAGCAACGAGGGGCATTATTGTGATTCACAGTATTATATTAATAAGAATATTAATTGGTGAAGGGCAGGAAGGTCCTCTCTGGGTGGTCCTGAGCTCTCCCCTCCACCCTGGAGATTCTGAAGCGATGGGGCCCCAGGGTTATTTACCTTCAAGTTCTAGTTTCTTCCTCTCCACCTCTTTCTTGTACTCCTCCAGCTCCTGGTCAGTGAGTTGGCTGAAGGGGTTGGGCACTGTCTCCTCTGAATCGTCTTTGGTATCCTCGTCACCCTTGGACATCAGCTGGCTCTCTGTAGACTGAAAGTTAACCACAGAGTGTGTGTCGCTCTCTGAACGCCGCAGCTGGGGCCCAGGCCCGAGCTTCCTTTCAAACTCATGTGGCTGCCAGTCGTCTTGCTAGGGACAGTGTGGCAAGCAGCTCCTTGGAAACAGCTCAGGGCCTTGGGGGTAGGGATCGTTCATTCCTCCCCATGATTACCTCCCCCCCAGACCCAGATTTTGCAACTGCTTGGATAAATATAGGCCCCTGTATTTACTTTGAACGCCGCAGCTGGGGCCCAGGCCCGAGCTTCCTTTCAAACTCATGTGGCTGCCAGTCATCTTGCTAGGGACAGCGTGGCAAGCAGCTCCTTGGAAACAGCTCAGGGCCTTAGGGGTAGGGACCATTCATTCCTCCCCATGACTACCTCCCCCCCAGACCCAGATTTTGCAACTGCTTGGATAAATATAGGCCCCTGTATTTACTGCCCCTGAAATAAAATCAAAGGATACTCCCAAGCAGAAGGAAGACGCACCTTTATTGCAATCCCTTCTATGGACACTTCCAAGCCATCACTATGCAAATACAGTTGGTGACCCAAAGTCAGTCAGCCAAAGCCCAGCAAGCATAGCATTGGCTCAAGCAAGCTTCATGTCAGCCATTCTCCACCACGGCCCCTCCCCATCCCCCAACAGCAGTGCAAGCCACAACACACAGCATTAAATCATATACAAAACACACAGCGGCTTCAGCGTTCTCAGTCTGGACTGTTGGTCCTGTTTTGCACACAGTCACAAGTTACAAAGGGGCAAGGTCCTGAGTCTCAGATCTTCAACCCGCCTGTACTGCTGGTCCCTGCAGGGACACTGGCAAAATCACTGGGTTTCATCACCTCTGTGGAGCTCCCAGCTCTGGGGAGCTGACCAGCTGGACCTTGAATAAGCTTCAGGAGTCCTTTGACCCCTCTAGCCCAAGACAGGGACTAAACTTCAGGCTCCTCAGCCCCTTTTCCTAACCCAGCATCCTTGTCTTGGCCTTTGAGAATGCAGGGCTCTGAAGCGGAGGAGGAGCCCAGGAAAGCGAGGCCACAGGGAGCGGAGCCCGGAGCAGCAGGCTCAGACCGTGCCCTCCACTCGTCCCTTCCCTGGCCTGCCAGGTCTTCTGATGATGGGCCTGTGGCTCCTTCCAAAAGGGAGGCTGGAGCAAGCCTATTATAAGGAATCATGGAGTCGAGGGAGAATCCAAGACCAAGATCCCAAGGAGAGGGACACCAAGGAGAGCCCTTGGTATAAATGGCAAAGTCATTTTTTAACAGTTTCACTCACTGTATTGAATTCCCACCTTCCCCAGAATCACGGGCTGTTTCTGTCACTGGCCCTGTGGTTCATTCAGTGTTCCTCCTCTCAGCTGAGCCGGGGTGGGTGGAGGGGGTGTGAAGATACAACTTTCACACTTCTCCTGCCAATGGGCACCCACTTGTGGGCTGCAGCCTGATCTGAAATCATCACATCATCTCAGTCTGCTCCGTAGACAGGAACACTCCCTGTATTTCCCCACTTTTTACCACTGAGGAAGATGCCACGCCCATTGCTACCTGCAATGAGCAGCAATAATTTCCAACACAAGCCAGAATTCTCAACTTTGTCCCTTTTGCTGACTAAGCACTAGACAAAACACTGTTCTATCTCAAGCACGAAAACAATGACTTTATACCTTCTAACTCTATGTGGATTTGTACGGGCAACTAACCGTCCCTTCCCATCCTGTAGGAGCACTGGTTCTATCTATGCGCCCCCCTCTGTGGGTACACAAGCATCTTCCCAGAGCTCTGGCCCAGATGGCACCATATCCACGCACAGAGGTCAGAAATGCTCAGGGCCGGGCAGGCTTGAGGCACTGGCCCCACACCCATGAGTCCCCATTAGACAGGATGTTAATAGAGGGCAAAGAGGAGCTCCGTGGTGGAAGGGGTGGAAACCGCCAGCATCACTCCTGTGGGCAGGCTGGGCTGCTGCTCCCTGCCCGGTGCCCATAGGGGGCAATGTGACGTCGTCCTCCCAGGCCCTCACAGCCCCCCTGCGAGGTGGACCTCCACTTTGCAGCAAGAGCACTGGTGCCCGAGATCACCGGGGAAGATGGGCATGAGCACTCAGGGGTCCTGCTGCCCAGCCCCAAGCACAGAAGACCCAGAAGGCAGGCACGTTTCCCCTCCAGTCAGGGGCGGCCTCTGCTGTACCGGGCTCCGGCTCTTCTCAGCGATGACACTCGCCAGGAGCTGGGACTGAGGCCCCGCCGACTTCACATCCTGTCTGTTTTGTTCTCGAATCTGTATGGAAAGGGAAAGGGGGGTGAGCTGACTGTTTAGTGTAAGAGTGTGGAGTTTGGGAAGGCACACCGGGGTCTGGTGTGGCCTGTGCCTGGGTCCAGTGGTATGGGAGCTCGTCTCCTATTCCAGCACAGTCCATCCCCTCTAAGAGGTGGTCTCCATGTCTGTTCAGAGTGAATTAGTGGTTTATGAATTGCATGAACTCTGAGAGGGTAGTTGTAAGAGGCAAAGAGTAAAACAAGGCACAGTTGAGAGAGGTTCTCAAATTTTAATATTCCTAAGAAGCCCCTGAGGAATTTGTTTTAAATACAGATTCCCAGGGCCACTCCACACCTATTGAATCTATGTCTCTGTGGGGTTGAAGGGGGTGGGGCAGGGCGGTGACCAGGAATCTGAGCTTTGAACAAGTGCTGCAGGGGTCCAGGGCCACACATGGAGCACTGTTCTGTGAGCCCTCTGACCTGTGAGAGGTGGTCTGCTACAACTGAAGTTGTTAAAGTAACATTAGAAATGTAAGTGAGTGAATTGTCAGGCAAAGATCCAGAAACAGATATAAAGGATCTTGAAATTGTAAAAATAAGCCAAAAGGAAAATGGCATAAAATCCATAAAGACACAGTTTGTGGGCAGATCTTTCAGACACATCTAATGTGCAAAGCAAGCACCCCACCATGTAAAGGGGTCATACAGGACCACGCAAGCACAGCACTTAGCACAGTGCCTGGAACATGATCCGTAAACAGCAGCTGCTTCATCCCGTGAGGCCTCTGGGGTGTTGGTGAGTCGGGCGCACCCTGAGAACCAGCTCGTGTTTGCAGGACTCGCGATCCCCCCTTGTTGGAGGAGAGAGAGATGAGCAGCCACCAGCTCACCTTGTTCCTCATTTCCAGCACTTCCTGGGGGTCGGTGTAGAGAGGCACAAATTGGTTTGGGTTTTCGATCCTTATGGGCATGCCACTGCTGGACTTCTCCACCTCGTCAGCTTTCATCCACTGGGCAAACACAAGGCCAGGGTAAGGCACAGCAGCAAGGCCCATGCGTCCTCCCTGCTGGTCCACCCGTGAAACCTGGGCCCGCCAGCCTGCGTGAAGGTCAGCAAGCCTCTACGTGGATGTTCTCTCTCCTTGAGCCTCTTCGATGTTTGTCTCCCAGAGTAGAGACAGGCGACAGATGACCCAGCTGCCAAAGAAGGCCCTTCGGCCAACAGCCAGCCAGGAAAATCACTGGCAACTAGGAGTCAGAACCCTGGGAACCAGCTTTGACAGACAGGCTACCACTTGGGCTTCAGAATTAGGTAACTCGATGTGAGTTTGGAGGGCTTCATATTGTGTTATGAAGAACTATTCTAGTTGGCTGCCGGCTGCTTTTATGTGAATGAAAAATCAGACTGAGAGTGTGTGTGAGAGAAGATAACTTAAGAGAAGTGACTATCCCACCCTCCTGGTCTTGTGTCAGATCTGCAGTCCGAATGCTGGATGCCCATGCCTTGAATTTCCCAGGGCCCCCCTGGATGTGGGAGCAAGAAGCAACACCCAGCTGCTCCCGGGTTTTGTGCTGCTGGGAGTGCCCTGATCCAGCTGCCCTCTAGAGAAATCTGCTCCTCAGACCCGAAAAATCAGCTCAGCGGTGCCAGAAAGAGGGACTCAGTGGGCCTGAGCAGCTGTTCCCAGATGCCCAGTAGAAAGCCCTAGGAGGAAAATGCACTCACCCAGGCCCAGGAGAGATTCGTTCTGTTCCCCCTTTAAAGCTGCCTAACCCCACAAATGTAGCCTGCCCCTCTCTCCACCCACGTCTGTGCTGGGGATCCCCCTTACTGTGGTCTTGGGCCGGGGGCTGCCCATGCTTCTCTGGACCTCGTCGGCCACATTGACCCGCAGGTAGGTGTTGGGCGTGTTCAGCCAGCGTGTCTTCTCCTTCTGCTGCTTCTGGGCGTGCTGTCGCAGGGTGGGGACTGGGGTGCCGTCCTCCTCAAACACGAAGGCTGTGACCGTGGCTGGAATCTCCACCTCACTTTTGTGTTTGGTTTTCTCTTGGACAAAGGGGTGGCGGTATGTGTAGCCTGTTCTATAGCCCTAAAAAGGACAAAAATAGAGCCCCTAATTGTGGGGAAGAAGGGTCTGTGTGTACAACACACTTTGCCTGCTTCCACTAAAAGCAATCAGTTTAAACCCAAATCTCAGTAAGACGGACTAGGCCTTGCCCACTCCTACGGTATATTCAGAATTGTTCCCTCCTCTTGGTTCCTGAATCCCTTCCTTCCTTCACCCCAAGAAGCCCTCTGATTAGGCCTGAGAAAATCTCTAGAACCTTGCGGACCACATCGACAGAGCTCCTTACCCAGAGAGAGCCCCCAATTTCATGTGATCCAGTGGCTCTCTTCCCTGGCTGCATGTTGGAATCATCTGGAGAGCTTTAAAACATATCGATGCCTGGGACCCACTTCAGAGTTGCCAATTTAATGTGATGGTGATGCAGCCTGGGCTAGAGGATATTTCAAAAGCTTCCCAGCTGATTCAAACAGTCATCCCTCTTCCTCAACTCTGAAGCTTCTTAACCATATTCCTCTTGGAACTCCGAATTCTGATTCAAGAACACCCCTGTCTCCTAAGTAAGAGCATCTCCCACACAGGCAGTGCTGCCTGTGGCTGAGTGAGAACAAAAATTCAGGAATTTGGCAGCTGCTGGAGCAATACTCGGCTCTCCCTGTCTTCTCATCTTTTTACTTTTTAAATTAAAATAGCATTAAGGTATTTTTCTGATTATCAAGAAAATATAGACCCACATAGAAAAATTAAGCAATACAGAAAAACATAAGGAAAAAAGTGAATTTTATGCAAAATCTCACTCCTAGATACAACCACTAAAAATCTTTCCAGTCATCCCTCTATGCATACATACATGTATGCATGTATGTTTACTAGTAAAAGTGGATATTTTAAATTACATGTCATGGCTACTTGAATCTCTTCCTTTGTAAATTGTTTATGTTCTAGCCCATTTTTTTATTGAGATTCTCTTTGTCACATTGATTTGGAATATTTCTTTTTACATTAAGAATATTAACTTTTTGACTGTCACAGATGTTGCAAATATTTTCCCCCGTCATTTGTCTTTTAGCTTTGTTTATTGTGGGAAAGTGGTTTACAGAAATTCAAGTTTTGAATTTTTTAACGTACTCTTCTGTCAATATTTCTCATCATGATTTCAGACTTTTCTGCCAAATTTGACAAGGTCTTCCCTAATGCAAGAGCATCAAAAATATGAATTCATGTTTTTTAATACCTGTACGAGTTCACTTTTTATGTTTAAATTTTTGATCAATCATGAATTTATCTTGTGGAAAGGAATCAGGTAGCAATCCGTCTTAGTTTTCTTTCCCAAATGGCTAATAGTCTATCTTTTCCCCACTGATTTATAAAGTGCCTTATTATCCTGTGTTAAATTCTCATATATTTTGGGTCCACTTCTGGATTCTATAAGTGTTGCATTGGTTTACTTGTCCATTTTGCTAGTGTCACACTGTTTAGTTACTAAAGTTTGTTATACTTTACCATGGAGTGGAACTAGTATCCCGAATTATTTTTCTTTTTATAGCCATTCTCAATTTCATGTGGAAGAACATTTTAAGTCCTTGTACCTTCTCCCATTTTTGAGGGAATTGCATTGAGTTTATTGATTAATTTTGGGGAAGTGACCTCTTTACCCTGTTGAAGCTTTATAACCAAGAATAAATTACAGCTCTTCACTGATTTCAGGTTTCTCTGATGTCCATTGGTAAAGTTTTAAGGCTTTCATTAAATGGGTTGTGCTATTGTTTTATGATTTTGGTGCATTTGCAAATAGGATTATTTTCTTCCATTTTTTTTTTTTTTTTTTTTTTTTTTTTCC